ATACACGGGGATGTGAAAGTGTTTTCGAGAGTCAGGGCGACTAACAAAGCGGGGTTGTCCGCCATATTTTCTACAGATGGCGTCACTGTGGATTCCAGTCCCCCGCAAATAGGCCGCGTACTTGATGGCGATAAGGCGGTAAGTCCAGACATTGAGAAAGTCGACAGTGATTGGCTTCCTACAGTCACGTGGTACGGAGCAAAAGATATTCAAAGTGGACTTCGGGAGTGTCAATGGATCATCCTGAGGCATGATGGGAACGGCAAGCTTGCCGTTTATGACAAAACCATTGACGAAGTTAACACAACGTATAACGTACGTCATGCAGAAAGAGCCACTGCCCAACTACAATTAACCACCAATGCTTCGTATTTTAATGCCATCCGCTGCACCAATAACGCGGGCGTCACAAGTTATCAGTACTCTAACGGTTGGTCAGTAGTCGACCAATGGCCTATGACGTCATATGTTCACGATGGACTTGGATCACGTGATTTGGAATACGACGTCATTGGCGAAACACTTGGTGCGTCATGGGGAGCATTCTACGGCGATTCAAAAGACCCGGTCATAGGATACGAGTGGGCTGTGGGAACTTTAGGAGCACCTGAGGGTATCATGGACTACACAGAGGTAGGGTTGGATACAAGAGTTTCAAAATCGCTATCTGACAGCGACATCGAGCTGGAGCCTGGGGTAAGGTATTACGTCACTGTCCGCGCGACTTCATTGAGCGGAAGGGCTAGTAACAAATCTTCAAACGGATTCATTGTGGACAAGACCGCACCGGCAAAAGGCGTGGTTACAGTGGCTCACAACATTTTGAACCAAACTGCAAATGAAGTGGATTATACCCTAACTTGGGATGGTTTTAAAGATTTAGAAAGCGAAATTCGTGGTTATGAGTTTTGCTTGGGCTATATCAAAGATGTCTGTTCGACTGCCCCTACAAATACCGGTTTAATACTTCAAGGAACTGTTCAGCACTTCACACCTGCCGACCTGAGCACGCCATTCTATGGCATTGTTATAGCAACGAACAAAGCAGGCTTGAAAACAACCGTTAGTTCGGATGCAATCAAAACTGACTTCACCCCACCCATAGCAGGGACGGTAATTGATGGCGTTGGCAAAGACCTCGACTATATCAACGACAGTGTTGCTTTGGTTACCACATGGTCCGGGTTCACAGACCCACAGTCTGGTATCGAGAAATGCAGGCTTACTATCATCGAGGAGGGACCTACCGGGCCTTTTCTCGTTCTAAGATCGACGGTCATCAAAGCAAACGGGTCTATTCCTCATAAATTCATTCTAATACCAGGCATTAAATATGTTGCGACAGTCGAATGCAGAAACCCTGACGGTTTTAAAACCTCAGTTTCTTCTAATGGTGTGACTTGTGACAAGACTCCTCCAATAACGGGTAAAATATTTCACGGAACTGATCGGAATTCCGACATTCGGTATCAGTCTTCTACAAACGCCCTCAGCGTACACTGGAGTCCAGGCAGTGATCCTCAAAGTGGCGTCAAGGAGTATTTAGTGGCCGTAGGAACTGGACCCGATCGCGATGACGTACGCGGATTCGCCACGGTTGACATGGCGACTGATGTGCAAATCGTGAATCTCACTATGAATTCTGGATCCACTTATTACGCGACGTTAGAAGTTGTGAATAATGCTGGATTGAGGTCAAGTGTTTCGTCAAGCGGTGTCAGAGTCGACGCGACACCTCCAATAATAAGCAAGGTAAATATCAGTCCTGAATTTGGCCATCCCGCTCAATCTCACTCGATAGAACTATGGAAATTTCAAGTGTAAATTTTGTAAATTTTTAGACCTAACCAGAAGCAGCTGCAACCATAGGCCCTCTCTACACACGCAAAAATCTCACATCTTGTAGCAAGTCTGCCAACAAACCGTCAACACGTTATTTTCGCACTGCTTGTCCCAAGCGGACAACAGTTTGGAACAAGCTGTTAACAACATGTAACAGCCTTGTTGATAGTATCAGACTTGTTGCAAGGTTGTTCCAACAGGTCCGATACAGTCACAACATAAGAATATTGTTACAACCTAAGTGTCGTCAATCTTGTAACATCGTCAAACCATTCATTCATTGCCAGCAACTTTATATTTTTAAATAACTCGCATGCCTAGTTACTGGCATGTAGTAAAACACTGACTACCGGAACACCGGAACACCACCGGAACACCGCCGGAACACCACTGGAACACCACCTAACCCTAACCTCAACCCTAACCCCCAACCCTAACCCTAACCCCAACCCTAACCCCCAACCCTAACCCTAACCCCAAACACTAACCCCAAACAAAATGGTGGTGTTCCGGTGTTCCGGTGGTGTTCCGGTGTTCCGGTAGTCAGTGTTTTACTACATGCCCTAGTTACTTTCGTTTTGATAATGTAAGCATAGAATGAAACAAAGTTAACCAAGCATTCAAATTATTTATGAGTGATGAATGATGTGACATAGGCGTTGAAGAAAAATATTTTTGCTAACCTGTGATGTATTGGTAACTATTCGTACTTTATTTCACTCATTTCAGGTAAATCTTCAATCCTCGGACACAGTGCCAGGGTTTATCGGACCAGGAGACTACCTGAATGGAAATTGGAACACGTATGACGATGAGAGTGATATAGACTTCACTGAATACTGTATTGGTACAACCACTGGCGGTTGTCAAGTTGAAGACATGCGACGAATGCCTGAAAACCAGACACGTGTCACATGCTCTGAATGCAAAGTAAAACACAAGCATACTTATTTCATGACAATACGAGTCTGGAACAAAGCGGGGTTATTTAATTTAGCCACCACGGAAGGGGTAACCGTAGACCTAACCCCACCCACCGGCGGAGAAGTTGTATTAAACCCACCCTACATGCCTTGTTTGGAAACGTGTAGCCTGCGTGCGACAGTCAGTGGCTTTATAGACGAAGAAAGTGGAATTAAAGACTGTGAGTTTATCGTCAAAACTAGCAACGGGACAATTGTGACTCCAGCGCAAACTACAACAAGCCAGGATCATATACTGGCTGCTAACTTGACACTAACACATGGAGAAAGTTACAACATTGTTGTTGCTTGTTTAAACTCGCTGGATGTAAGAAGCATGGAAGTTGATTCGTCGCCAGTAAGAATCGATAATACTCCACCGGAAAAGGTAAAGTCATTCGCAACTGTAGACGGCGCTCCCAGCATAGTCAGCTCAAAGCGTAATGAGATAGAAGGGCGAAAATAAGAAAATGATGCCCCCACCCCCAAAGCAAAAGCTGGCATTTGGATATTAAACCCACTGATCTATTAGATCAGTGATTAAACCAAATAAATTTATTTGGATATTAAACCAAATATTTTTCAAAAGCTGGTATTTGGGCTAATAGACAAAAAAACAAAATCCATCACCGCAGCTGGAAAGAGCATGCTAAAATTAGTAAAATTGCAAAGTTTGGTTGGGAAAAGTTGTAAAATGAGGAAAATATAGCCCTATGAAGTTTGCAAATTTTGTGTAGATTTGTATTACGCGCGGTAAAAATAACCATTTTTGAGCCGAAAGTGGTTATTTTTACCGCGTGTAATTATACAAAGATATATATAAAATTTGCGAACTTCACAGGGCTATATTTTCCTCATTTTACAACCAAACTTTGCAATTTTATAAATTTTAACATGCTCTTTCTAGCTGTGGTGATGGATTTTGTTCTTCTTGCCTTGTTCTTCTTGCCCAAACTTTAGTCTATAACTGGAATTGCCCGTTACGCATTTCCTTTATTCTGCCCCCGCAAAGCAAGACAAACTTTTGCTAATGGAAAATCGCTACTGCGCGCTCAAAATCAGTCCGATTATCATCAAATTTTTACCAAATGTTAGCCAGTGCATGCACAATATGATAGTTGTAAAATTGACAAACAATAAAATAATGTAAGAATTATTCAGGAAAATCTTAAGTCGCGGTACCTTTACGCTTTTAAGTTATGTTGCTGCTAGTTTTAAGATATATTTATGAAAATATCATTTTTATACAGTAAAATAGTTGTTCTAAAAAATTGTGTTCGGAAATTTTTGTTTATTTCGTCATTCCGCTGATATGGCGATTTCTTTGACGACTGCAATATATTTCTGAATTGTTTGTGTGAATTGCTCCTTATTATTAAAATATCCAAAATTAGAACAAAGCCGAACACAATTTTGAAACTGACGTCTTTAGCTATGTCCTGTGAAAATTTGAAAAAAATTCGTTAAAACCCGCAGGAGCACAACTCGTTTAGAAATCAGTAATTGCCGTAAAATTCTTCGGGAGAAAATTGAATTTGAATATTACATTTTCAATGTTTTTCTTATTGCAGCGAAATGTATTTTATTATATAACTCTGCGAGTTTTCAACATTTTCCGTCCAAACTTGGTCAGATACAACTAGTCTAATGCTTTCATGGAAACCAATAAAAAATTTTAGGCAAAATTAACACTCAAAGGTGTTCTGTAACCTTAATCAATTCATTCTTGGGCAACATACGTTAGTGCCACAAATTTTCACATTGATAATACGTGAGTTTAGTAAGTTAGACAAACACACATACAGGGTTTATAAAAAAAAGTAATCCAATTTGATTATCCCATTTTAGGGTTTGGTGATAATCAGTCCAGATTCAAACCACGACATACGACATCAGCATACGGGATGTCACTTCCTCAACACAACACTACGTGTTTACTGGACTGGTTTCCATGACGACGAATCAAACATTGCTGGATTCCGGGTCGCTATTGGTCGAGCCCCACTGGGTGCGGACATCATACCATATAAAGACTTAAAGATTGACTCGGAAGCTAAGTTTGAGTTAAGTCAGCAATATGGACTGTCTCAAGGTGATACAATATTTGTAACAGTTGAGGCAACAAATCGAGCTGGGCTTATCACAAAAGTTTCGTCGCAACCTACAAGACTTCTATCCGATACAGACAACAACCTACTTAACCAGCAAGATTTTCTATGTGTAAATCTTTGAGAGAAATAATAGCTTGACTAATCTATTGGTCGGTTTCATACTTGCTGTAAAGGTTTCATAAGGCAGCCATATAATGATAGTAGTTATCTTCAGAAATATTGACATCTAAAGACCATGTCAAGTCCATTCTGCACATCAGTTCTGCTCATAACAAGGGGTCGGGACCCAAAGATATTGCTGAAATTTTGCATCTTTCAAACTTTTTTGAATTGAAACATACTCTAGTTTATATTCATTTACAATTGCGAACCAGAAAAGTGTTAGATATTCAGTTAGTATGTCTTATTTTACAAATATAGCAGTTCAAAATGTAAACAAAGGATTTGTTTACATTACGGACTTGAACATGGTCTTAATTTATAAAGCAAGCAATTAAATTATAGTAAATTTTTCAATTCCACTTATTTGCCTCCAAATAAAAGACTAATACATATAATAATAACTTTCTCTCTCTGATAATGGCGGGTCATTGCACAATAGTACTTTATGAAACCCACATTATATCCGAGTTGCACGTGCAAGTGCTAGTACGTGCAAGTGCTAGTATTAAATAAATAGTGTACTAGTTTTAACTTTTAATATAAAGTTTAATTCATTTTTGGTGTACTGTAATACCAGAAATTTTATAGACTTAAGGCATTACCTTCATCATTACACAGAACACAAGCATTTTTAGTCCTTTTTCACTCATGTCTCTGCGGTAGTGAAGCTTTTTATAAGCAATCTTTGCGGTGTTGTTTTCAAAATTAGCGGCTAAATCCTTCGACCTTCGCCATGTTGAATTTTATCTGTATCATAATCCTGCTTACATGAAGTATCCTGCAACTGATCTCAAAGTCATTAAAATGAATATAACTGGAACGCTATCTTTATATGAACTTCCTAGGGCTTCAAGAAAAAGATAAAGGCTGTTCTATTTATTGATTCCATTGCTTTTAAATATCTACAAATGGAAAATATAAATCACCAACACCTCTGGTGCCCTTTTCAACTCCTAGAAATAATTTTGAAAATTTTTCTTGTAAAATGTGGGTTTCACAAAGTATTTTCGTACATCACCTGGTTCAGTAACCTGCAGTTTATCAGAGAGAGAAAATTCTTATCATTTTATATACTAGTTTTATATTTGGCGCAAATAAATAGACTTGAAAGATTAGTTTAATTTGCTTGGGCCAAAAAACATACCTGGATTTCCTATTTCTTGTTGCAAAAACTTGGGTAGGTCAGGGTTATTTTTTTATAGGGTCGGTGGGTTAGGAAACTGGAAACCCTGCAAGTAGGAATTACGAAACACACCAATAGAGCAGACGTTATGTCCTTAACATTTTTTAGAACCTAAGTATATTTCTATCTTTTGTATTCTTGTTGTATCATATTGTACTGTAAATTGTCACTCATTCACACGCCCCTCATGGAAACCAGCTAACAGTTGATGAGGCTAGCTGGCGTGTGAGAATAAAGTCTACATATGTAAGTGCGTATGTATATCACGTTATGGAGTTGGGCTATCAAGACATTCAACAATATCGCGATAAATGCAATTAAAATAATCAGCCCACAAAATATGAGAAGTGCATGAATTGATTTTTATTCATTCGTTCACCAACAACAATTGTCAATTAAGGTAAAATATATTATACATTTGTATTGAATTAAAACAATAAAATGTGTTACCAGATGGTCCATATGAAAATGCGATCCAAACCATTGTATGAAAGCATGGTATTATACTGTATCATGCCACATCCAGCCATGAATGCGTTTAAACTATGAACGAACTATGTAACGACAAAGAAATTTTTATAATGTAAAGTGTTTTAAACCAACCAGAATCAGATGAAAATGTAGATTTATTGCACGATATTCTGTTTGGGGAAGGAGAGTTAGAGCTGCATGCAGCCGGCAAATGACGAACCATCGGGATTTGCATTGCGAGAGAAAACGAAGGGAATCCTAACAGTTTCTGACGCGGAGTCTGAAAAAAGCGTATTGAGCGTATACCCGTAGGCACAAGACCAACAGTTGGTGTTTGAAAAGAATGGGCCGAAAAAGTTGGTGTTTGAAAAGAATGGGCAGTTGGTGTTTGAAAAGAGTGAGCCGAAAAAAGACTAAAATAGTTCAGCCGAAAGTATATAGAAGCGCTAACGAAGATTTGTACGGGTTTGCCGAAGCAGAGATTCTAAATTTGTTCTCAATAGAGTTTTATTTGGGTAAGAATCTAAAAGCAAGGGGAGGGAATTTCATATATCTACAGGGAAAAGCGGGGTTATATATATCAAACTCGCAAAAACCGGGTTTTATACAGATAAAACCCAGTGAATATTTAATCATCAATTCCATTCCAACCCATCCCATTCTATTCTATTCTATTCTATTCTATTCATCAACCCCGCTTTTCCCTGTGGAGATATCATTCCGCTCCGCACGCAAAATTCCGCCCAGTGGAAAACTGGCTTCAGGTTAGTGATCACGTAAAAATAATAATAATTTTATTAACAACCAATTTTGCAGTTAGAACTGACGAATTACACTAGTTTTACAGCTGTAGGACACTATATAACTAAAAATATGTTGTAACATATGATTTAAGAATATTCAAAACCAGTGTTAGCCAGTAACGAAGTAAATTTACTTCGTTACTTTACTTAAGTAAAAAAAATCAGTATTTACTTGTAACGAAGTATTTTTTTAATGAAGTACTTTTTACTTGTAACGAAGTACGATTTTTGGTAAATATTTACTTTTTTACTTCGTTACTTTTGTTATATTTTGGCGAAGTAAAAAAGTATTTCTCAAAGCGGTGAGTGGACTGGAATATATATATATATGAAGGCATTTAAAGAATAAAGTTGTTTTACCACGTTACTTACACGTCTGAGTGTTCTATTCCTGCTTAAACCTTTGCGAATTTATATTCTATTTCAGTAGTACTTTTACTTAAGTATATTTTCCCAATACTTTTCTTTTACTTAAGTAAAATTTTCAGGCAGTACTTTTACTTTTACTTAAGTAAAATTTTCAGGCAATATTTTTACTTTTACTTAAGTAAAATTTTCAATCAGTACTTTTACTTCTACTTAAGTAAAAATTGAGGTGTTACTTTTCACTTTTACTTAAGTAAATATTTTGAGTACTTTACTGAACACTGTTCAAAACTCATTAATAATTCATGAGGAAAACACAAAAAAAAATCATAAGCGTGACGTATCTTTATATGTGATAGAGATTTCCCTTTATTTACATGAACTTTAACTTTGATTTTCTTGACTTACACAACATAGTTTTTGAAAATTACTTCGTTAAACCATTCGCAGTGCGTGTTTTATCATGCAGACCTATTAAAAGATACTCGGCTTCGCCTCGTATTTTTATATCTGATAAAACACTGCTGCTCATGTTTTAAATAGTACTTAAAAATAGAAGATACAATGGTTTTACAACTACAACTATAACGTACTGTATATAAACAGAGTAGTGTAATAACAACTAATAAGATACGATTTAAGAAGTAAAAGTTGAGAGTTTAAAAATGTTTCGGTCGTACAATCTTGCTACAGTACAGACAGTATAAAACTCTTACGGTAGCGATCAGTTCTATAACTGGAACCTTAAAACACCTATTATGGCGTAGATTGACAACAGTATTTTACTAAAAAATCATTTGCGTCGGAGGTATGTGTCCGCTTAATTAAAAAGGGTGTGTCCGCTTAAGAGAGGTGTCCGTTAATAAGGATTAAACTGCATCAATACATCAAAATATCTCCCAAGTAACGCTATCATTTCTCTTAAACATTTACACAAAGAAAATCTCGTTCGTTAAGTAGAGTGTTGTCTGTGTCTAATAGAAGTCGTGTAGGTTGCGACGAAACTTTTGTGATAAGTCCAGCTTGATTGGTTGCCTCAACTGTTGCGAATATTGTTTCACCTCGAGACAGTCCATATTGCTGACTTAACTCAAACCTAGCTTCCGAGTCAATGTTTAAGTCCTTATATGGTATGATGTCCACACCCAGTGGGGCTCGACCAATAGCGACCCGGAATCCAGCAATGTCTGATTCGTCGTCATGGAAACCAGTCCAGTAAACACGTAGTGTTGTGTTGAGGAAGTGACATCCCGTATGTTGATGTCGTATGTCGTGGTTTGAATCTGGACTGATTATCACCACACCCTAAAATGGGATAGTTCAGTTTTAGTTTCCAATTCGTAACAATATGTAAATTTACATCACATAATAAATTACTTATAAATACACCCCTCCAGAAAGTATTCGGCATTGGCTATAAAGCTTCGATTTAGTGATTGAGATGTTGGGCTTAGAGTCTTTATCCTGTTACAGATAGACACATTTATGAAATCATACAGATATATTTTGGATAATATATAAGACTTTATACAATTAGCCATTCTCACGAAGACCAAAATCCACCATTTTTGTGGTATTGTCCGCCTTCGAGAAAGATTCTAGACAACTCAACTTAATTACACTTTTAAAAGTTGTAACTGTAATTGTAAATTTACCATTATAGAAACAACTACAATACTAAAAAGTTGTATTCCGTCGTATTTGATTTTGTATTTAGACTCTCAAAAGTGGGAAAGGCAGTATCTAAATGCCCTCTGGTAATTGTGAAAAACTTTACCTTTTCCGGTGGAGTGTTATCGATTCTCACTGGCGACGAATCAACTTCTATGCTTCTTACGCCCAGCGAGTTTATACAAGCAACAACAATCTTGTAACTTTCTCCATGTGTTAGTGTCAAGTTAGCAACCAGTATATGATCATTGCTTTTTGTAGTTTGCGCTGGAGTCACAATTGTCCCGTTGCTAGTTTTGATGATAAATTCACAGTCTTTGATTCCACTTTCTTCGTCTATAAAGCCACTTACTGTCGCACGCAAACTACAGGTTTCCAAACAAGGCATGTAGGGTGGGTTTAATACAACTTCTCCGTCTGTGGGTGGGGTTAGGTCTACGGTTACCCCTTCTGTGGTGGCTAAATTAAATAACCCCGCTTTGTTCCAGACTCGTATAGTCATGAAATAAGTATGCTTGTGTTTTAGCTTGCATTCAAAGCAAGTGACACTTGTCTGGTTTTCAGGCGTACGTCGCATATCTTCTACTTGGCAACCGCCAGTGGTTGTACCAATACAGTATTCAGTGAAGTCTATACCACTCTCACCGTCATACGTGTTCCAATGTCCATTTAGGTAGTCTCCTGGTCCGATAAACCCTGGTACTGCGTCCGAAGATTGAAGATTTACCTGAAATGAGCGAGGTAAAGTACGAACGGTTACAAATGCATCACAGGTTAGAAAAATATTTTTGAAACAACAATTCGAATGAATAGTGACTACCCATTGCGACCTCATTGATCACTCATATATGATTTAAATGAGAGACTTTATTTATAGAGGATGAGACTTGACAGTACGAATACCGATGACTCTGTGGTCCTCTGGAAACCTATGTGCCTAACCCACCCATGTCAACTTTCCCTGTGGGAGGAAACACGGAGTACCCGGAGAAAACCCACGACTTTCGGCAGAGCGTTGACTTTTACTCTTTTCACATGAGGCCTGGGTTCGAGTCACATTGACAAGTTCTCACTGAGATTCGGACCTGCCGCCTTAGAGGTGAAAGGCAAGTGCGCTAACCACTTCGCCACCGAAGCCCCATAAACCTTTGTTCCATTCTACGTTTAATTACCATAACAGTGGTAACTAGGCATGTGAGTCATCCCACCAAATTCACTCACATATATAATTTAAATGCTTGGCTACCTTTGTTCCATTCCATGTTTACATTATCAGAACAGTGGAAACTAGGCATGTGAGTTATCCCACCCAATTCACTCACATATATAATTCAAATGCTTGGTTAACTTTGTTTCATTCTATGCTTACATTATTAGAACAGTGCATGGTAACTGGACATGCGATTTATTAAGAAATATAAAGTTGGTGACATTAATTTAAATAAATGGGCCTTTGCAGAAAGTGATTCAGTTTCGACTTTTTCCTGTGCATGTCGGCATCGCTTATCACGTCTGTAAAAGCTGCGCAAGAACAAATTTGTCTTGTGGAAAACACGCTTTAATTAAACTGTTAGGTACTTTATAATGAATTTGTTTCTGAACTACACACGTAAAAACGCACAAGTTGTTACAGGTCTGCAAACAAGTTGTTACAAATCTGTTCAGAAGTTGTCGACAAGTTGTGTTCGCATTGCTTGTTCCTAGTTGCTGTAACAAGTTTGGAACAAGCTATCAACAACTTGTAACAAGTTTGATGGCATTATCACACTTTTGCAAGGTTGTTCCAACAAGTCTGATACAATCATGATATTTGTAACAATATTGTTATATCAGGCTTGTATCCGACTTGGTAGAAAACCTTGCAACAAGTCTGATAATACCAAAAAGGTTGTTACATGTTGTTAACAGTTTGTTCCAAACTTGTTGACAACTTGGGACAAGCAGTGTGAACATAACTTGTTGGCGGCTTGTTGGCAGACTAGCCGCGAGATCTGATCTTACCTTGCTTATTATTGGAGGTGTCGCGTCAACTCTGACACCGCTTGACGAAACAGCTAACCTTAACCCCGCATTATTTACAACTTCTAACGTCACGTAATAAGTGGATCCAGAATTCATAGTGACATTCACGACATGCACATCGGTTGCCATGTCAACCGTGGCGAATTCGCGTACGTCGTCGCGATCAGGTCCAGTTCCTACGGCCACTAAATACTCTTTGACGCCACTTTGGGGATCGTGGCCTGGGTTCCAATGCACACTGAGGGTGTTTGTAGAAGACTGGTAGTGAATGTCGGAATTCCGATCAGTTCCGTGAAATATTTTTCCCAATATCGGAGGAGTGTTGTCACAAATCGCGCCGTTAGAGGAAACGGAAGTTCTAAAACCGTCAGGGTTTCTACATTCGACAGTCGAGATATATTTCAGGCCGGGTGTTAAAACAAATTTATGAGGAACGGACCCGTTTGCTTTGACCGTCAATCTTAGAACGAGAAAAGGTCCGGTAGGTCCCTCCTCGATGATGGTTAGCCTACATTTCTCGATACCAGACTGCGGGTCTGTAAACCCGGACCATGTGGTAACCAAGGGAACACTGTCGTTGATATAGTCGAGGTCCTTGTCAACGCCATCGATTACCGTCCCCGCTATGGGTGGGGTGAAGTCAATTTTGATCGCATCAGAACTAACGATTGTTTTCAAGCCAGCGTTGTTCGTTGCTATGACAATACCATAGAATGGTCTGCTCATGTCGGCTGGTGTGAAGTTTTGAACAGTTCCGTGAAGTATTAAACCAGCATTTATGAAGGCAGTCGAACAGACATCTTTGATATAACCCAAACAAAACTCATAACCACAAATTCCGCTTTCTAAATCTTTAAAACCATCCCAAGTTAGGGTATAATCGACATCATTTGATGTTTGGTTCAAAATGTTGTGAGCCACTGTAACCACGCCTTCCGTGGGTGCGGTCCTGTCCACAATGAATCCGTTTGAAGACTTGTTACTAGTCCTTCCGCTCAATGAAGTCGCACGGACAGTGACGTAGTACCTTAACCCAGGCTCCAGCTCGATGTCGCTGTCAGATAACGATTTTGATACTTTTGTGTTCAACTCTACCTCTGTGTACTCCATGATACCCTCGGGTACTCCTAAAGTACCCACAGCCCACTCGTATCTTATGACTGGGTCTTTTGAATCGCCGTAGAATGCTCCCCATGATGCACCAAGTGTTTCGCCAATGACGTCATATTCCAAATCACGTGATCCAAGTCCATCGTAAACATATGACTTCACTGGCCATTGGTCGGCTACTGACCAACCGTTAGAGTACTGGTAACTAGTGACACCTGCGTTATTGGTGCAGCGGATGCCGTTAAAATACGAAGCATTGGTGCTTAATTGTAGTTGGGCAGCGGCTTTTTCCGCATGACGTACGTTATACGTTGTGTTAGCTTCATCAATTGTTTTGTCATAAACGACAAGCTTGCCGTTCCCATCATGCCTCAGGATGATCCATTGACACTCCCGAAGTCCACTCTGAATATCTTGTCCTCCGTACCACGTGATTGTAGGCAGCCAATCACGGTCGACATTCTCAACGTCTGGACTTGCCGCCCTATATCCGTCAAGTACACGGCCTATTTGCGGGGGAGTGGAATCCACAGTGACGCCATCTGAAGAAAATATGGCGGACAACCCCGCTTTGTTTGTCGCTCTGATTCTCGAAAACACGTTCACATCCCCATGTATTTTACAGTCTTGGCATACAAACGATGTGTTTTGGCCTATTGAAGTGAACGGTTTGATCAAGCAATTGAAGCTAGTGGTGCCCACGCAATATTCAAACTTTTCTATACCGCTTTCTAGATCTGTGATATTCTCCCAAGTGGCAGAGACCGAATCATTGATCGAGATAAAATCAATATCGCGTTCTGAACGTCCATCTTTGACACTTCCATTTTGTCCTGTTGGCGCAGTTTGGTCAACAAGCACAACTTGTAATAACAACGACGTCACGAGCCCTGCTGCATTGCTAGCCCTAACTGTGACATAATAGTCCTGATTATCCTTTAGATTTAAACCAGCAAACTCAAAATCTTTACGCAAACCAGTCCTGGTAAATTTGTGTGTATCGTCTCGGGATGCCCTTGTTCCTACGCCGATTTCATAAAATTCTACAGGGCTTTCATTGTCTGCAAATCGTTCCCAAGTTATTTTAATTGTATCAGAATGAGACTGGTAGCTTCGTTGAGGTAGTATGTTTGCAACTGCGGTGTAAAATGGCGGAGTGTCATCTATGGTGAAAGGTTTTGAATAAACTGTGGTTACTAGTCCTGCATAGTTGATGGCCTTAAAGACTATGGTATATCCCGTTCCTGGCGGAAAGCTACGAAGTGAAATGTCAGACTGGACTTGGGTCGAGTTGAAAGTATATTTCAGCACGGATGTATTAGATTGCATTACTGAAATTTCATATATTTCTATTCCGCTTTCCATATCCTCAAAATCGAACCAGGTTACGCGTGGGTCCTCGTCAGAACTGAAGTAGGTTTTCTCAGTCCCCGTATGCGAAGTTAACAGGATTCTGCCAGCCCAAGGCGGAGTGTGGTCAAAAAGGAGTGGTGACGAGCAAGCACGTGATACAAGGTCTGCTCGATTCCGCACTACCACTGTGACGTAATAAGGTACTCCAGACCTGAAGTCCAGTTCACTTCCGGTAGTGTTGGCACTCGTCGCTGAACCGATGTTAATGAGCGGTTGAACCTGGGTGCCGCATTTTGATGTCCCTATTGCCCACTTGTAGTACCATATTTCACTTTCAAGTTCCTTGAAATCCCCCCATGTTACGTATATTCCCGAGGCAGTATAGGAATAATAGGTCCCAGTGTCTTGGATGAAACGCCACTCCGATGCCAGTGTGATGTCACTCGGGACGGGGGGAGTGGTATCAATAGTGACTCCATTCGATCTCAACTCACGCACACCCCCCGCTCTGTTGTACACACGTAGGAATACTGTGTAATTATGACCATGTTGTAGAGATAACACTTTCTCAGTTGTCACGTGAGTTTGCAGACCTACGTCAACAAAGTTCAACACAGAACCCGGATGCTTTTCCCCAATCCCCCATTCAAATCTTTCCACTCTGCTTTCCAAATCCCAGATTCGTTCCCAGTTCGCGCTCATCTTTGTCGTGGAAGACTGGTAACGAACATCCGGTTCAAGTATCCCATCATGCACCACACCGGATGTTGAAGGGGTTGGATCAATAAGGACTCCATCCGAAGCTAGGCATGACTTTAATCCTGCGTTATTTATAGCACACACTATAACGTAATACACGTCTTTGTGCAAACTTAGCCCAGATATATTTGCTGACGTGTTTTGGCCAACGTCTATGAATGAAGTCACATCTGGCTCGCCAACGCGATTCCGACTCACTGCAACTTCGAAATTCTTTATCCCTGAGTCGTGATCTTGGATCCCCGTCCAAGTAGCAGACAGCTCCCCCCTGCTTGACTGATAATCTATATCATCATCACCATTACCGTCTAATACCATCGCCCGTTTCAGACCAGGGGGAGTCACGTCAACTATGAATCCGTCCGAGGAGACAGGCTGAGTTTGAACCGCGGCTAGATTTTCTGCTTTGATTTTAATACAATATTTCTGACCGTTGACTAGACTCAGTCCTTGTATTCCAAATGAGGTAGCCGTGGCTGGGTTAACTAGTATAAACTGGTTATTAGTCACGTGATAGTTTCCTTTGATGCAGCTACCGATAGCAACAAAGTAAGCTCGGACTTTTACGTTCGGCGTTTCAAAACCTTTCCAGGTCGCGTAAATTTCGGATGTGTTCGTTTGGTAATCGATATCTATCGTCGGGTCCTCACCGTCGGACACCGTACCGAGATCGGGAGCTTCACTTAAAGGAATGAGTAGTGGTGATTTTATGTCGGCATGAAGACCAGCGTTGTTGATGCCACGCATAGTCAGTTGATATTCTTTGTTGTTTGTTAGCGAGAGGGATCTAAATTGAAACAAAGTAGGAAAAATTGAACTTGTAATATGCTATTTAAAGAGGACAAAGGCTCTCTTTGCCTCGATGTGCTATGGGACTCTAGCAAATCTCAGAAAAATTAAGAACTTTGCAACTTTTACCCTGAGGAAGCATTTGGCTGAAAGTGTAATTACCTCTCGTTTAGACTTTGGTGACATTGTATTCTATCCACTAACCCAACATCTCATCAAGAGAGTGCAGCGAATTTTGTGGCCAGACATTATGTAAATAGCATTGGATCGATTTTAAAATTGGGCAGATGTAACTAATTGTCTATGACCTCAGTTTGTTGAACACTGCACCGGAATTGCAGGGCAGCAAGTTCAATTCCTGCCAGTTGCATATTTCGTAGCTGCATGCGCCTGCGAAATGTCTACCCATAGTCCTATAGTACTACAACTACACAAAACTAGTGCTAAACAAAACTTTGTGGCTCACTTTGTGTTTTGCGAAACAGGAGCTTCGTCCAGTATGAATTTGCTTGTCTGTGACCGGAACAAAACGGGGAGACATATTGTTTTTGTCCGGAAGTGAATAGTGCAAGGATATCTGGAGCTGAACAACCAATGAAATTGCGGGAAAACCACTATCCATCTCCCGAGTATATACTAAAGCAGCTTATTCACAGTGATTGCTTGGCGATAAGTTAGAATTTGAAGTTTGTACCCACCTTAGAACAGCTTTGGTAGCAAGTTTAACTCCAGGTACATCTTTCCACGATGTTGGCTGCACATTCTTCTCAGTAATAGTCCATTGATATTTCCTCATCCCGCTATGTTCGTCTACAAATTGTGGCCAGGAGACTGTCACGGAATCTTTATCTCTGATATACACCACTGTCTCGCCATTCTTTTGAGCTGTCTCACCCTGAACGCTCAAACTGCCTGTATAAACTGGATGGCTTATATCGATAAAAACTCCGTCTGATTTGACTTCAACGTAATGTCCGACTTTATCAACAGCACATACTGTCAGGTAGTACGTATTACCATTTGAAAGGCTTAACCCTGTAATAGTGATATTAGTTTGAAGACCTGCAGAAGCCCATGATGTAATATTTTTGTTATTCTTATCCGTTAACTTGTATCTATATTCCGCAAGTCCGCTACTCTTTTGCCCGTCGTCAAATCCATTCCAGTTTGCGTGAGTCATATTATCCGCCGATTGATAATCGATGTCTTCCGCGGTTCCATCATTGACCGTGCCAGGTTGCGGTGCATAGTGGTCTATAAGGAGGCAATCGGAAGACGCCTGGGTACTAATACCGGCCGCGTTGATCCCTTCCACAATAGCGCAATACTGGACCCCCGAGGTTAGAGTCAATCCCGACACTTGACCGGCACGTCCCAAACCGACTGAAGTCAACCCGGACGAAACCAACCCGTCATCTTTTCTTTTCACACCGAGCTTGTACTCGACAATAGGTGTATGAGCGTCCGTGAATTGGGTCCAACTGGCATCGTAGGTCTTAGTCCAGCTAGCATACTTGAGATCGGAGGACGGGCCGTCGGAAACCGTCCCTGGTTTAGGCTTGGAAGTATCGACCGTCACTCCATTGCTGGAAATTTCCGTATAAAGACCTGCCTTTGTAAATGCTCTGACTTTTGTGATAATTATACTACCATCTGTGATTTTTGAAAAGGTTTTGGAAAAAGATACTTTGAGGTTAACATTAGTAAAAGATTGTAAGAAAGTGTCGTTATGGTACACAGCTATTTCATACTTTGCTATACCATGAGTTGTTTTAAAGCCACCCCAAGTTACACTGATTGTTTTATTTGACTGGAATTTAACGTCTTTCGAGCCCAGGCCATCGCGGATCCATCCTCTACTCGGCCTACTGGTATCTATGGTAACCGCGTTGCTACATACAGGCAACCCAAATTGTCCATAAATATCGTGAGCCTGCACAACTACTTTATATGCCTCGCCGTTCTGTAAAGTTAACCGGCTAAGGACGTGGTTGTTTGTGTTAGTCAGGTTACCGGGGTTTTTACCAAGAGCACAGCCGTCTTTGCCTTTCAGTAAAGACCATTTCATAGTGAGGGCACCACATGTGGCTGAAAAACTAGTTAGTTTGAGGTAAAGTTTGTCCGTGGTTGGTTGGTATGCGGTGGAACTTGCGAAGTTTAAAAAAGTTAAAGCGGATTGCCCTTCTCGGAGTTTAATTGCGTCGACAACTCGTGGTGGACATGTTCCCAGTACACCGTTACATCTGCGAAAGAGAAATCAGACTATTATATCTTTGGTTATGTTATTTTGTCTTCCTTCTATCTACCGGTTTGCCCACCTTCAGGAAACACGGCTAGAAAACAATGTTTCCTGGTTTGCTCTCCTTCGGAAAACATGGTTAGGAAGCAATGTGTCCTAGTTTTCCCTGACCCAAAAAGTATTCGTAACCACCAAACTGTTGTCTCACCTTTCAGGTTCATCACATTTTTGCACAGCTGAACGGCATATTGTCCCTTTGGTTCTCATGATATCCCTACACGTCCCGTTTCCCACACACTCAGAGCGCTGTATGCAACTGATCAGCGGGTAGGATGATTGACAACTGTACGCTTTGCCCACACATCGGCCGCTTTGACAGAGATCTTGTTTCGTGCAGGCGTTGCCATCGTTACAAGAGATCGCGGGTCTGTTGGTCCACATAGAGCTTGATTTGGAAGCTTTGTCGTACAGGTCGCACCATTGACATTCATTGCCTGGGTTTAGCTGTTGATGGTTGTAATCATTACCTGTTACCAAGAAATGAAAGTTTGACTTTAGTTGACCCAGTCAGTAATTTTGTATGTTTATGTTCGTTAATGCCACTCAATTCAAATCATTACCATCAACATCTCAACCACCACACATCACCAACAATATCATTATCACCATTATTACCTGATCGTCAAACCACCACCACCATTCCATGTCATCAACTTAAAATCATCATATCACTAACTAAACTAAACTAAACTAAACTAAACTAAACTAAACTAAACTAAACTAAACTAAACTAAACTAAACTAAACTAAACTAACTTTAATAATGATAGGTTTTGTACATGTTTGTGGAAACACCACGTAAATTTTTTTTTAAATTTACGTGGTGCTTCCACAAACAAAACCTATTATATTTTATCACCATGCAAACATACAAAGAACTTATAACCTAACTTTATTTATCCTGGATAACTCTATCAATGATTCAGCGCAACCGTAGGAAGAAACCAAAGCTAACTTTGTCTCTACCAGTTCTAAGCTATGCTAGAGTTCCTCTGAGAGCAAACTAACATTGTGATCAAACGTCTGCGTATCGACTGCTTGTACTAGAATGCATGGAAATAGTATTGTCTTCATGAAGCTCTAACAAAAAGTGTGAAGAAAAGTACAAGGGTGTAACCTCTGCTATAACCAGGGTGTCTACACTTTGGTGACGGTGAAATTCCGGGACTTTTCCAGGACTTTCAAGGCCCTTTTTCAGTAAATTCAAGGACCTAGAACTGGGAAAAATCTTTGAAAATGGCACGGATTTGCCCAGCAAATAATTCACTTTATTCAGTAATTTTAATCAAAATCACTAATGTTGGCACAGCTGGAGGTTAAGGAAATTAATTCCAGGACTTTCAAAGACTTCTACTGATTTTCAAGGACTTCCCAGTTCAGGAACTTTGTTTTTTACAATTCGAGGCCCGTGGACACCCTGTATAACTCCTTCTTGTCGAAAGGATGATGTGAAATTCCTGAGCTTAATCCTTTAGACGTTTCCTGAGACTAAATGCTTTTCCTTTATTTACTTCTATTTTGGCAGACATTCTCCCGCTATTTTCGTTGCTAATATTCACTAACCTGCTATTTTACAAGTACATTTCCCCGCAACATATCCAAAACCTGTATTCAAACTACAACATTTCCATCACAGTATTGACACAGTGTATTGCACTTAAAACTGATGCCGCCACATTGACCATTGGTACATTTATCTGAGCGCGTGCATTTCTGTCGATCATCACAAGACGTTCCATTTCTGTTTGTCCATGCAGATGTAGTCGTATTTGGGTTGCACCACTAAAAGAATTTTTAAACCAGTACTCTTTAAAGCATTAAGTTGAGGATGCATGTAATAGCTGGAATGACAAGTTACCTAAGGCATTCTTGGATCGAGGCGAAGTATGTGGGAAAAAAATTGAAATGTCGCAACAATTTAACAATTGAAACTAAAAGGATTACTGTGATGCGACTAACAACGATACCTCTATGGCCGAAAGGAAATCATCCCGATCTGATTTCATCCCGGTGAAGAATTTAACGACTGTTTTTCCACCCTACCTGACATGGGTTCCCGGGTTTTGCCATCGCGCGGTAACATGTGTCCACATTTGTGGTCTTGATGATACAGTATCCGGACTTCGGTTTACACACGTCGTTGTAGTGCTCTTGGCATGACAGACACGTGTAAGGTTGTCCACTACAGTCTCCATTAATACAACGATCATTTCTTGTCTTCACGTTATTATCGCTGCATTTGAGGTTGTTGTTTGCTGTCCATCTTCTCGGGTTGTTGCTGTTGCATTGCTGTAAGAATAGATATGTAACAACGTATTCTGTTTTCTGTGCAAACGTTTTAATTAGCCATTTTGAAGTTGATGAGTGTACTGGGGACGAGTGTTAAAAAGTGCCCAAATTAAGAAATGAACCAAATCACCTCAAAATTAGTAAGTATACAAAATTCGTATAATACGTAAGTATACAAAATGAATATACCCTTCGAATAATAAACTTCGAAAATTGTGAAATTACAGAGTTATTTTTGGAAGGCGCGTCCCCAAAAACAAAAAGGAATTATTGGCATACCAATAAAGATTTTATTGCTTCCTGCATCTGGTTTTAGAGATAAGGAGCTATTGTAATTTGGCACGTAGGTATTAGCCCCGATAGTCACAGTGATATAATCTACAGCAGTATGTGCATCAGTTCATTCTGCTTTTAAATCTGGTAGCATAAGGTCAACTCTTGATAAGGTATTCAAAGTATTTATTTTTTCTTCCTTCTCTGATATTCTTATGTCAAGTTGTGTCCCAAGTATTTTTTCTCGGTCATTCTTTTGTCCGTCGTTTGCGAGATGATTTAGATGCGCACTTTGATGTACTCTTTAGATGCGCACTTTGATCACCTCCCAGAATCGGGCTATATAGGCCTACTTTGTTAGGGACGGGTGGCCGAACCGTTGAAAAGGTCGTTAAATACGATTTGAAATCGGTGCATAAGTATAAGCCCGAAATTGTAAACTTGGAGCTTGGGACTAACGATTTGTCGACTCACGCCCCTGAGGCAGTGGGGTCTAAGTGGGGTTCGGGTTGTTGGGGTGTACCAGGTTATAAACCGCAATATTCCTGTTGCTCAAGGCCGCGGCCTTGGCTTTAATGCCAAGGCCGCTATTTTGCGGCAATATTTGTCTTTGGTCCTTGCTGGGGAAAATGCGATTTTTACTTGGGATCATTGGGAATATTTTCGAATCGATCGTGCATTGCTATGCCTATGCTCCGATGGCGTGCATTGTAATGCCCAAGGACAGTACTGTTTGTAGTGGAGTTATCGTGGGGCTATCTTGAAAGCTCTCAATCTTTTGTAACCCATGAACCCCGTTTTGCACTGTTGTTAACTTTCTGTTCAATTTTGCTTTTTGTATTCACAACGCCCTAATTTGAGGAGAGCGTCTATTGTCACACTCTTTGATTATGCAATATATATACCGGCCCTCGGTACTGGCTGTGATACATATTATGCTTAATAATAATAATAATAATAATAATAATAATACTTAATATTTCTATTGCGCGATTTTACATATGTATGTGATCAAGTGCGCATTACAATTACAGCCGGAACTGGCGTGAAGCAGACATAACACATAATGTGTTATGTTATTATGGGCTAAAGCGACATGACTGTTTCAGATGCCCACGATGAGATTTCAACTTTGGGTTTTTCCTGCACAGGCCATATTCATGATTATTGTGCTGGTTATATATACGTATATAGAATGTGTTTCCCTATAGTAGTCTGCTTTGTCTTTTGTTTAGCTAACGTAATATTAATGTTAGGTATATATGACTGTCTGATCCTGTCTTTGGAAAATGCATTCCTACGTGAAATTGTGCAATTTATTGTTTTC